CCCCCCCCCACCCCGCGGCTCAGAAGAGGACTGCACTGAAGAGCAACGCGTTCCTGAGGCCACGCCACTCAAGGCCACGGCGCAGCCCCTCGGGAGCCCGTGAGAAACGCAGGCTCCCCCGGCCCGATGGGCTGCATCGGGGCTGCCTTCTGGCGGGATGCCGGGGTCCCCGTGCACAGGAAGGTCGGGGAGGCTGCACCTGGAGCCCCCAGGCCCCGTGCCCGGGCAGGGGGGTGGGGAGAATGGGCGCCGTCCTGGAGTCCTTGTCGCTGTTGGTTTGTTTTCTCATCTCCCGTCCCTGCCTGGTTCTGTGTCGTTGTCACACATCTGCATGAGGGTTTGAGTTAAGGGAGGGTCCCCGAGCCCTGGCTGGTGTTGCTCAGTGGATAGAGCACCAGCCTGTGGACTGAAGGATCTCGGGTTCGATTCTTATCAAAGGCACATGCCTGAGTTGCAGGCTCGATTCCCAGTGTGGGGTGTGCAGGAAGCAGCCGATCAATGATCTCTCATCACGGATGTTTCTCTCTTCCTCCTTCTCCCTTCCTCCTTCTCCCTTCCTCTCTGAAATCAATAAAAATATATTTTTAAAAAGGGGGCGTCCCCGAGTGTCTACGTCTCCTGGGAGGGAGGACGCCCCTTAGGCAGATGAGGAAACGGAAGCTCCGTGTGGCAGCGACTTGCCAGGACTCCACACTAGCCGGTGCCATAGGCAGGCTCAGCCCTGAGCTCTGTGACCCACCACCCAATGTCTGCCCACCCCTCTCCAACCCCCCGCATCCAAACGCACCCTCCGGGGGCTCCAGGAAGAAGGCCTGGGAGCTGCCCAGCACAGCTGGCCGGGTCAGTGCCTGCTGTGCCCCATCCCTGCCTCGTGCCCCACTTGTCCCTAAAGCAGGTGCTCCTAGATTCTCCAGGAGGTTAGGGTTAGGGTTATGGTTATGGCTCTGCCCAGGATAGGGTTAGGGTTAGGGTTAGGGTTAGGGTTATGGCTCTGCCCAGGATAGGGTCAGGGTTAGGGTTAGGGTTAGGGTTATGGCTCTGCCCAGGATAGGGTTAGGGTTAGGGTTAGGATTATGGCTCTGCCCAGGATAGGGTTAGGGTTAGGGTTAGGGTTAGGGTTAGGGTTAGGGTTAGTGTTAGGGTTAGTGTTATGGCTCTGCCCAGGATAGGGTTAGGGTTAGGGTTATGGCTCTGCCCAGGATAGGGTTAGGTTAGGGTTAGGATTATGCTTCTGCCCAGGATAGGGTTAGGGTTAAGGTTAGGGTTATGGCTCTACCCTGGATAGGGTTAGGGTTAGGGTTAGGGTTATGGCTCTGCCCAGGATAGGGTTAGGGTTAGGGTTAGGATTATGGCTCTGCCCAGGATAGGGTTAGGGTTAGGGTTAGGGTTATGGCTCTGCCCAGGATAGGGTTAGGATTAGGGTTAGGGTTAGGGTTAGGGTTAGGGTTAGTGTTAGGGTTAGTGTTATGGCTCTGCCCAGGATAGGGTTAGGGTTAGGGTTATGGCTCTGCCCAGGATAGGGTTAGGGTTAGGGTTATGGCTCTGCCCAGGATAGGGTTAGGGTTATGCTTCTGCCCAGGATAGGGTTAGGGTTAGGGTTAGGGTTATGGCTCTACCCTGGATAGGTTAGGGTTAGGGTTACGGTTATGGCTCTACCCAGGATAGTGTTAGGGTTAGGGTTATGGCTCTGCCCAGGATAGGGTTAGGGTTAGGGTTAGGGTTAGGGCTCTACCCAGGATAGGATTAGGGTTATGCTTCTGCCCAGGATAGGGTTAGGGTTAGGGTTATGGCTCTGCCCAGGATAGGGTTAGGGTTAGGGTTATGGCTCTGCCCAGGATAGGGTTAGGGTTATGCTTCTGCCCAGGATAGGGTTTAGGGTTAGGGTTAGGGTTATGGCTCTACCCTGGATAGGGTTAGGGTTAGGGTTAGGGTTATGGCTCTGCCCAGGATAAGGGTTAGGGTTAGGATTATGGCTCTGCCAGGATAGGGTTAGGGTTAGGGTTAGGGTTATGGCTCTGCCCAGGATAGGGTTAGGGTTAGGGTTAGGGTTAGGGTTAGTGTTATGGCTCTGCCCAGGATAGGTTTAGGGTTAGGGTTATGGCTCTGCCCAGGATAGGGTTAGGGTTATGCTTCTGCCCAGGATAGGGTTAGGGTTAGGGTTAGGGTTATGGCTCTACCCTGGATAGGGTTAGGGTTAGGGTTACGGTTATGGCTCTACCCAGGATAGGGTTAGGGTTATGGCTCTGCCCAGGATAGGGTTAGGGTTAGGGTTATGGCTCTACCCAGGATAGGATTAGGGTTATGCTTCTGCCCAGGATAGGGTTAGGGTTTGGGTTGGGTTATGGGTTAGGGTTATGGCTCTACCCAGGATAGGATTAGGGTTATGCTTCTGCCCAGGATAGGGTTAGGGTTATGGCTCTACCCTGGATAGGGTTAGGGTTAGGGTTACGGTTATGGCTCTACCCAGGATAGTGTTAGGGTTAGGGTTATGGCTCTGCCCAGGATAGGGTTAGGGTTAGGGTTATGGCTCTGCCCCGGGTAGGGTTAGGGTTAGGGTTAGTGTTATGGCTCTGCCCAGGATAGGGTTAGGGTTATGGCTCTGCCCCGGATAGGGTTAGGGTTAGGGTTAGGGTTATGGTTATGTCTCTGCCCAGGATAGGGATAGTGTTAGGGTTAGGGTTAGGATTAGGGTTTAGGGTTAGTGTTATGGTTATGGCTCTACCCAGGATAGGGTTAGGGTTAGGGTTAGTGTTAAGGCTCTGCCCAGGATAGGGACAGTGTTAGGGTTAGGGTTAGGCTTATGGCTCTGCCCAGGATAGGGTTAGGATTAGGGTTAGGGTTAGGGTTAGGGTTAGGGTTAGGGTTAGGGTTAGTGTTGCATTAGGTCTACGGTTAATGTTGGGTTAAGGCTAGTTCTTAGTCTGGTACAGACCCTCCTTGACCCTCCGCTACTCCCCTTGCCCTTGGTGTCCAGGGAATTTAGTTCCTCCGTCTCCCCACCACTGTCTGTTCCCAGGCTGATGCTGTTTCCCTTTTTAAAAAATATTTTATTGTTGGCAGAGAGGAAGGGAGAGGGAGAGAGAGATGGAAACATCACTGATGAGAGCGTGTCTTTGATCGGCTTCCTCCTTCCAGTCCCCACCCTGGGGTGGAGGCCACCACCTGGGCATGCGCCCTGACAGGGACCTGAACCTCCTGGTTCATAGGTCGCTGCTCCATCCCTCAGCCAGGCTGGCCGGGTGTGTGCCTGTTTCTTATCGACAGACACCAAGTGCCTGTGGGACTGTCTGCACCCTGAGGCCCGAGCGGCTTTCTGACTCAGAGGCATGAATGCGGGAGTGAGTGTGCGTAGGAGTGAATGAAGGAATGCACGTGTGAACCAGTGAATGAATGATGCGTGCGTGACGGAACAAACTCTTCCTCTCTGGGAGGGAGAGTGAGCTGCACGTCTGGAATGTTCCCAGAGACAGTAAGGCCTCACCCCAGGGGCGTCTGCTGGCCCAGGTTCCCTCGTGGCCTGGAAGCCAGAGCCAATGGAAGCACAGCACCCTGAGCCTCGTCTGCATGGCGGGCCCAGGGAGGCCTGCGTGCTGAGGGGCCGTGACCAAGGCGGCCGGAGGAGAACGGCCGATCCCATCCGGTGACGCCCCTGCCCAGGGCCCCCCCACGCCGCCCGGACAGTCCACCACGTCACCCTTTCCTCTCTGACTTCCTTCCAGAACGTCACCGAGAAGCAAAAGGCTTGTGAAACGGACCTGGCCAAGGCGGAGCCGGCCCTGCTGGCCGCGCAGGAGGCTCTGGACACACTGAACAAGGTGAGAGGAGGAGGAGAAGCGGGGATCCGGCTGGAGTCGGGGGGTGGGGGAGGGGGTGGGGGTGGGGGAGGGGGTGGCAGGGAGCGGAGAGGCCGCGGCCATCGACCTGGGGTGGCTGGCTCACGCCCGGCGGGTCCCCTGGGGTTGTCCTGGGCCTCCAGGCCTCTCTCAGGTCGGTCCTGCCTGCCGTTTGCAGAACAACCTGACGGAGCTGAAGTCCTTCGGGTCCCCGCCGGACGCCGTGGTCAACGTCACGGCCGCCGTGATGATCCTGACCGCGCCCGGGGGCAAGATCCCCAAGGACAAGAGCTGGAAGGCGGCGAAAATCATGATGGGCAAAGTGGACACGTTCCTGGACTCCCTCAAGAGGTTCGACAAGGAGCACATCCCCGAGGCCTGCCTCAAAGCCTTCAAGTGAGTCGGCCGGCCCGGGGCGGCACTCGGGCCTGTGGGAGCCCCTCGTCCAGGCAGCGTGTGAGGTCCCGGATCTACCCCTCGCCGCGGGCGGGGCCAAGGGTGGTGCTGAGGGCGGGGCCGGGCCCCCGGGCTGCAGGGCGAGGTGGCAGCCTGGGCACATCTGGCTGTATCTGTCCGGAGGGACACACTCAGCTGCTGGCTGGGCTGCCTTGGGGGGGTCGTTGGAGGGGTGTAGGGGGGCCCTCCTGGTCTTACCCATCACCCCAGGCGGCAGCCCTCACGAGGCCTCTGCGTGTGCACCCCAGGCCCCATGCACGCTTCATGTGGCTGCTGCCAGGCCCCATGCACGCTTCATGTGGCTGCTGCCAGGCCCCATGCACGTCTCATGTGGCTGCTGCCAGGGCCCTGGGTCCGCTGGGCTCTGGCTGAGGAGGGGCCACCACCGGGACCCTGGTGGCCCCAGACGAGACCAGCGGTGTGACAGCCGGGAAGGGAGGGGGTTACCTTAACCCACTGCCCCGGGGCTTCCCGCTCCAAAGCATAGGCGAGGCCAGCGCCCTGTGGTTCACGTGTCCTTCTTCCTTTAATCGTTGATACAAAAAGGCATTTTTTTAATTCAGCTCTCACTGTAGCCCTTGTGGTCAGCGGGGCTCAGGTGGGAGGAGGCAGGGGGGCCCGTCCTGCGGAGCCCAGGCCAGCGCCCCCCTTCCCTCTCCAGGCCCTACCAAGGCAACCCGACCTTCGACCCCGAGTTCATCCGCTCCAAGTCCACGGCGGCCGCGGGGCTGTGCTCCTGGTGCATCAACATCGTGCGCTTCTACGAGGTGTACTGCGACGTGGCGCCCAAGCGGCAGGCGCTGGAGGAGGCCAACGCCGAGCTGGCCGAGGCCCAGGACAAGCTGTCGCGGATCAAGAACAAGATCGCCGTGAGTGCCTGCGCCGGCCCTGCCTCTGTGGGGGGGCTGGTCCAGCAGCGTGAGGCCACGGGCGCGGCCCGGCGAGGGCCCCTGTCCCACTGGGAGGCGGCTCCGCGTGGGCCTGCGGGCAGCCCTGCTCTCTCCCGCCTCCACGGGGGGCACCGCGCTGCCGGCCACCTCGGACCCTCCCGCTTGTGACCAGGAACTCAACGCCAACCTGAGCAACCTGACGTCGGCGTTTGAAAAAGCCACGGCTGAGAAAATCAAGTGCCAGCAGGAGGCCGACGCCACCAACAGGGTGATCTCGCTGGCCAACAGGTAACCTGCTCCCCAACCCCCCGCTTATCCCCCCAGAGAGGGGAGCCCGCCGCTTCCCGCCAGCCAGAGCGCGGGCTGGGAGTGTCTAGGGGCAGCCACAGCACGTGGGGGAGACGGGGGAGACGGGGGAGACGGCACAGCATTGGCGTCGCCATAGCAACACGCAGAGGGCAACACTGGTGTGCTCCCCGAAGCACTTACCCCCCAGGACCCCCAAAGCATTCTCCCCCGGAAGCGCTGAGCAAGATACGGACTAGCAGACGGGCAAGGCGGGGGTCGCGGACGGGGAGGTGGGGGAGCCCCGCCTCGCTCCTCTCCTCCGAACGTCGTTCACCCAGACGCGCTCCCTTCGCTGACCCCACGGACCTGGGTCCCCTCAGGCTGGTGGGCGGCCTGGCGTCCGAGAACGTCCGCTGGGCGGAGTCGGTGCAGAACTTCAGGTCCCAGGGGGTCACGCTGTGCGGGGACGTGCTGCTCATCTCGGCCTTCGTCTCCTACGTGGGCTACTTCACCAAGAAGTACCGGAACGAGCTCATGGAGAAGTTCTGGGTCCCCTACATCAACAAGCTAAAGGTACGAGGCCCGCGGCCCGGGAAACCCGGGGAGGGGCCCGCCGGGCAGGCAGCCCCCAAACTCCCTGCATCCCGAGACCGAGGCTCCAGCCATTCGGGTCCGACTGTGGCCCCGTGGCCCGCGCTGACGTCCTCCCAGGTGGCCGCGCGCCCGCCGTCTGACGGCAGAGGCCCTGGGACCTGGACCGCGGGCGCCTCCTGAGGGCACTAAGGCTGCACCTCCCGGCAGGTCCCCATCCCCATCACGGAGGGTCTGGACCCCTTGAGCCTGCTCACCGACGACGCGGGCGTGGCCACGTGGAACAACCAGGGGCTCCCCAGCGACCGCATGTCCACGGAGAACGCCACCATCCTGTGCAACACGGAGCGCTGGCCACTCATTGTGGACGCCCAGCTGCAGGGCATCAAGTGGATCAGGAACAAGTTCGGCAGCGATCTGAAGGCCATCCGCCTGGGGCAGAAGAGGTGCCCGCCGCGGGGGGGGAGGGGTTCCGCCTGGGGCAGAAGAGGTGCCCGCTGCTGGGGGGGAGGGGTACCGCCTGGGGCAGAAGAGGTGCCCGCCGCTGGGGGGGAGGGGTTCCACCTGGGGCAGAAGAGGTGCCCGCCGCTGGGGGGGAGGGGTTCCACCTGGGGCAGAAGAGGTGCCCGCCGCTGGGGGGGAGGGGTTCCGCCTGGGGCAGAAGAGGTGCCCGCTGCTGGGGGGGAGGGGTTCCGCCTGGGGCAGAAGAGGTGCCCGCCGCTGGGGGGGAGGGGTTCCACCTGGGGCAGAAGAGGTGCCCGCCGCTGGGGGGGAGGGGTTCCGCCTGGGGCAGAAGAGGTGCCCGCTGCTGGGGGGGAGGGGTTCCGCCTGGGGCAGAAGAGGTGCCGGCCGCTGGGGGGAGGGGTTCCGCCTGGGGCAGAAGGGGTGCCCGCTGCACCCACGAGAGGGATGGGGGGCCCACACCTCGGCTGTGCTGGGAAACGCACCTTAAGCCGTTGGTGCGCATTAACCCTGCGGACTGGTCTTCAAACACAAATACTGGCCCTCGGGTGGGTTTTTTAACATCTGGCCCTGGGCACAGCCCCAAGAGTAAAGACTGGAACTCGGGGCTCCGGCGGCCGAGGAGGGCAGGTGGGGCAGCGTTTGCCTCCATGGCCGACAGTGTCAGCGGCTCCGTTCCACAACCCCTCCCCCCGCGGGTGACTGACAGGAGCCTAAGACCCCTGGGGAAGGACGGCCAGGCGTGTGCTGCTGGCCCCCCGGTCATGCCTCGGTGCCTCCTGGGCCGCGTGCCGTCCTGGCCCGGCGCTCAGGCCCCGCCTGCCCACCCACAGCTACCTGGACATCATCGAGCACGCCATCTCTGAGGGGGACACCTTGCTCATTGAGAACATCGGCGAGACCGTGGACCCCGTGCTGGACCCGCTCCTGGGCAGGAACACGATTAAAAAGGGAAAGTGAGTTTTGGGGTCCCCCTCCATGGGCTGAGAACAGAACAGGGAGCTCCAGGCGAGCAGCAGGGGTTCCCCCCAAACGCCACCAGGTGTGGGGGATCCCCGCTCAGAGGGGAGACGGGAACCGTGGGCCACATCCCGTCGGGAATAAACACCTTTTTGCCCACGGCAGCCTGCGGGGGGGGGAGGCCTCACAGCCGCATTTGCTCCATTTCTATGCATTTTGCAAATCTTGAACCTACTTGACTTTTTAGAAATTCAGGTAAAGTTCATACTGGACACGTTCAGTGGACTGTTTGAACGTGTCCAAGTCATTTGGCCTTGAGTGCGTTCCCAGTGCCGCGGGGCTTCCCCCTCCACCTGCTCCTGGAACATTCCGCGGCCCAGGGGAAGCCCCGCCTCCTCGAGCCGGCCCCCCCCCCCCCCCCCCCCGCCAGCCCGGCCACCCAACCCGCTGTCCGTGCCCGCGGATTGGCCTGCCCTGGACACTCCTCAGTGGGACCCCCTCTCTCTGGGGCCTTTCGTGTCGGGCTTCTCTCCCTGGGCATCATGTGTCAGGTGCATCCAGGCTGCAGCAGGTGGCCGGGCGGCCCCTCCTTGAGGCCAAGGGGCCTTCCCTCGTGTGGGGGACCCACGGCGTTCCTCCGGGTGTGGGTGGGCCTGGGGCCTGTCTTCACCTTCACGCAGAAAGGAGTGAAATCGACATACACCGTGTAAAGCCAGCCTTGGTGCGAACAGCCTCTAAGCGCAGGCCTGGACTCTGCAAAGGGCCTGGCGGGGGTGCCACTGTCGGGGGGCGGGGGGGGGGGGGGGTGCGTGAGGTCTGACCTGTGGAGTAAACGCCGCCGTGAAGATCAGAACAAACCCGCCAGGGACAGAGCAGGGCCGACAGGAGGACTGGACAGGGAAGGCGCAGGGAAGGGCCCCGCGGCGGGACCACGCGGCAGCTGGGGTGGGGTCAGCCGCCGGGCTGGCGTGGCGGCGCCGGAAGCCCCCTAACCCCTCCCGCCGGCCGCCAGGTACATCAAGATCGGCGACAAGGAGGTGGAGTACCACCCACAGTTCCGCCTCATCCTGCACACCAAGTACTTCAACCCCCACTACAAGCCCGAGATGCAGGCCCAGTGCACGCTCATCAACTTCCTGGTCACCCGGGACGGCCTGGAGGACCAGCTGCTGGCCGCCGTGGTGGCCAAAGAGCGCCCAGACCTGGAGCAGCTGAAGGTGCAGCCAGAGTCGGTCATGGGCGGCCGGGCGGCTCGAGGAGTGACACTCCCCCCCCCACCTCCGTGAGGGTCCCTGGCTCTGGGCCTCCCTGGGAAGGCGCCTCATACAACATCCCTTCTCCCGGCTGCTGCGCCTGTAACTCCACCAAACACCAGTCCCAGTGGTGCCCCACGGCCTACAGTGCCACCCACTGCCCCGCAGGCCTGGCCTGGCTGCCCGCCCCCGTGTGCCCGCCATGCCCTCGTGTGCCTGCCACGCCCTGGTGCTTCCACACACTGGGCTCAGAGGGGACCCAGGCCCCACGCCTCCACACGGCCCCGGGGCCTTCCACATGGTGACCAATGACCCGCAGCCAAAGGGGCCACAGGCGCTGCACTGCGCGGGGCTCCCTGCCCCCCGGCTTCCGTTCAGGGCCCCCCACCCCACCCCTTTTCTCTCATCCCAGCCCCGGGCCCCGGGCTTGCAGGGCCCTGGCTTCACCCTGGAGGCCCCGGGGCTGGGCTGTGTGGATGGGACCATGCCCACGGCCGGCTTCCCTCCGGGCTCTGCCTCCTGCAGGCGAACCTCACCAAGTCCCAGAACGAGTTTAAGATCATCCTGAAGGAGCTGGAGGACTCACTGCTGGCCCGCCTGTCGGCCGCCTCGGGCAACTTCCTGGGAGACACGGCGCTGGTGGAGAACCTGGAGACGACGAAGCACACGGCCAGCGAGATCGAGGAGAAGGTGCGCCGGCCCGGGCCCCTCAGCGCCCCGCCGTCTGCCGAGAGCCCCCAGGACGGCTTCCGAGGGAGCCAGGGCGCTGGGCAGGGCGCTGGGCCCACCCGCTCGCCGTGCTGTCCACCCGCTGGGCTCACTTGGCCCCTCGGTTTGGCTTCAGGTGCTGGAGGCGAAAATCACAGAAGTGAAGATCAATGAGGCGCGAGAGAACTACCGGCCGGCGGCCGAGCGGGCGTCCCTGCTCTACTTCATCCTCAACGACCTCAACAAGATCAGCCCCATCTACCAGTTCTCCCTCAAGGTGCGCTGCGGCCGCGGCCTGGGGCTCCCTCGGGCGGCGGTGGGGGTGGGGCGGGGGCTCACCACCCCCTCCCAGGCCTTCAACGTGGTCTTCGAGAAGGCCATCCAGCGGACGGCGCCGGCCGACGAGGTGCGCCAGCGGGTGACGAACCTGACGGACGAGATCACCTACTCCATCTACGTGTACACGGCCCGCGGGCTCTTCGAGCGCGACAAGCTCATCTTCCTGGCCCAGGTCACCTTCCAGGTGAGGCCCGCTGCCCGGCAGCTGCTCGCGGGGTGTCCCTTTGGGGTGAGGAGGCGGGTCTGGGCCTCGGCGGGGGACGCTGTGCAGCCACGCGGCCGTGCCAGTGCCGCGGAGCTGGAACCCGTTAAAGTGGTACATTTTATGTCGTGTGCTTTCACCGCGGTTATTTCTTTCTTTCTTTTCTTTGATTTTAGAATATAAAAATAAATCTATTACCAGATTGTAGATACAAAATAATCAGCCATTGTTTCACCACAATTTAAAAGCCGGCGTGGCTCAGGGGTTGAGCATTGACCTACGAACCAGGAGGTCACAGTTCCATTCCAGGTCAGGGCACATGCCCAGGTTGCAGGCTTGATCCCTCCCTCTTCCTTCCTCTCTGAAATCAATAAAAAATAGATTTATAAATAAATACAAATTAAAACAAGGTGAAGACCAAGTTCTCCAACGTGAGGGGCAGGGCAGTATGGCCCACAGGCACGGCAGCGGCTCCTCACACCTCCTGCCCGTGGCAGCTGAGAGGTGCCCCTGCCCGTGGCGGCTGAGCAGTGCCCGTGGCGGCTGAGGGGTGCCCCTGCCCGTGGCGGCTGAGCGGTGCCCGTGGCGACTGAGCGGTGCCCGTGGCAGCTGAGGGGTGCCCCTGCCCGTGGCGGCTGAGAGGTGCCCCTGCCCGTGGCGGCTGAGCAGTGCCCGTGGCGGCTGAGCGGTGCCCGTGGCGGCTGAGCGGTGCCCGTGGCGGCTGAGGGGTGCCCCTGTCCGCTGAGCGGTGCCCGTGGCGGCTGAGGGGTGCCCCTGCCCGTGGCGACTGAGCGGTGCCCGTGGCGGCTGAGGGGTGCCCCTGCGCCCACAGGTCTTGTCCATGAAGAAGGAGCTGAACCCGGTGGAGCTGGACTTCCTCCTGCGATTCCCGTTCAAGGCCGGGCTGGTGTCGCCCGTGGACTTCCTGCAGAACCAGGGCTGGGGCGGCATCAAGGTGAGCGGTCGGACATGAACACGTGCTCGCTGTTCCCTGGCCCTGCCCGTGTCCCCGCACGCCGCCAGCCTGGTCTCGGGCGCGTCCAGGGGGCCCCGCCTTGGCTCTCCCGCCTCGTTTCCAGGAAAAGCAAAGCGTCAGGTCCCTCCTCACGTGCTGTCCATGCTCCGGGTCTCAGGTCTCTCCGAAACCACCTGAGGGAGGCCATCCCTGGGGTGAGACAGGCGCCCTGGTCCAGATCCCCCCCGAGAAGCCGCCCGAGTCGCGTCCCGACCCGAGGCCCCTCCGGGGCCCCCGCTGCGTCCGGCTGCCCGTGGCTCATGGCCTGAGCGGCCGGCAGGGCCCGGAGCCCGGCTCCCACGGCGTCTGCCCGCAGGCCCTCTCGGACATGGACGAGTTCAAAAACCTGGACAACGACATCGAAGGGTCCGCCAAGCGCTGGAAGAAGCTGGTGGAGTCGGAGGCGCCCGAGAAGGAGATCTTCCCCAAGGAGTGGAAGAACAAGTCGTCGCTGCAGAAGCTGTGCATGGTGCGCTGCATGCGGCCCGACCGCATGACGTACGCCGTCAAGTGAGCGCCCGGCGTGGGCGGCTGCGCGCTGGTCCTGGGGCCGGGGAGGTGGCCCCGAGGCCTTGAGCGTCGGCCGGTGTTGGGGTCCTCCCCGTCGGCGGGCGGGACCCTGGGCCTCAGCTCACCTGAGCGAGGAGGGTGCCCAGGGTTATGATGAGGGGCAGGCGCCACCCCGTGAGCTCTGAGGTTAAAGGCAAGAGGCGCGGGGGGGCATGACCTCCGTGGCCCAGAGGAGCCCCTGCGGGTGTCGTGGGGAGGAGAGCAAGGCTCGGCGTCGGCACCGGGACCGTCCCGAGGTGGCCACCTCTAGGGCCATCTCGGCGCCCTTGCAGAGAACGTTCTAATTTCCCAAGCGATTCCTGTGGACTCGAGCCCCCTCCCCACCCCACCCCCACCCCCCGAGGGCCTGCCATTCATTTCTCGGGGTGAGGGAGCCGGGGCGCCCAGAGCAGACACAGCCAGGGCGGGAGCACCCACACCCTCCCTGCCCGAGGGAAGCAGGCCGCTCTGCTAGAGCCGCCAGGAGACCGCCTCCGGCCCCGCTGACGGCCGCCTCCCCCAGGAACTTCGTGGAGGAGAAGATGGGCAGCAAGTTCGTGGAGGGCCGGAGCGTCGAGTTCTCCAAGTCCTACGAGGAGAGCAGCCCCTCCACCCCCATCTTCTTCATCCTCTCCCCGGGGGTCGACCCCCTGAAGGACGTGGAAGCCCTGGGTGAGTGCGGCCGGCGACCGTGCCTGTCACCGAGGCGTGACCCCTGCCACCTGCCGGGTGGTTATTGCGTGTCAGAAACACGGAGAGTGGCCAGCGCTGGAATGAGAGACCGTGTGGCTGCTGTGTGAGACAGTGTGGCGGTTCCTTGGGGAGATGCACACAGAACTACACGTGACCCACAGAACTACACGTGACCCACAGAACTACACGTGACCCACAGAACTACACGTGACCCATAGAACTACACGTGACCCACAGAACTACACATGACCCATAGAACTACACGTGACCCACAGAACTACACGTGACCCATAGAATTACACGTGACCCACAGAACTACACATGACCCATAGAACTACACGTGACCCACAGAACTACACGTGACCGAGCAATTCCATGCCAGGCACAGACCCCAAAGGAACTGCGAGGTGCTCAGACGAGCGCTTTACACAGGTGCTCACTCCCAGCAGCCAAAAGGCAGATGCACCCGAACGCCCCCGCCACGGGAAGGCATGGCCACGGGAAGGCATGGCCACGGGAAGGCATGGCCACGGGAAGGCATGGCCACGGTGTGGGTGCTGCTCGCGGTGGAATATCACTCGGCCAAGAAACAGCGGTGGAGCGGGACCTGCCCCGCGGTGAACCTTGG